AAAAACGCAATGGCTCATGCGAAGGCGCTTGTTTGCAAACAATGACACACTATGGCCATCTGACGCATGCGCAGGTGATGACTCCCCCGCTTTAAAATGCAATTCTGTGACATGGACATTATACTAGCTATCGTGGTAAGGTAAAATAAAACAAGTCATTGAAAATGACACAGTCCCCGTTAAATGTTTGAAAGTTCTTTTGTGTCATCATATTAAAGCGGAGGGGTTGTCTCGAGCGTGTCCTTGAAACTTGGTTCCAAGTGGTGTATACAACAAATTGTTTATTTACATAAAAACACGTGTTCCGTGTAGTAGTAATATGGCCAAAAATAAAAACAGCCATTATTCGGCCATCTTTTATCTGATTATGAAACACACTGATATGTATGATGTATGTGCCAAATACAAATGAAAATAGTACATAAATTGTGGAAATATATAGTAGTAAGGCCAAAAAGTCAGATGGCTGTCAATCGGCCATCCTTGACCAGATTTTGAAACAAATTGTCATGGACATGCATCCTAACATGTAGAAAGTACATGTATGTGCCAAATGTGAATGAAAACTGACAAAGCACGTCCAAGATACCACATAAAAAAAGATACCGACAATCTTTGATCCAATTGCGAAATAAATCGTCATGGACATGTATCCTAACATGTATAATCTATGTACCAAGTTTGAATGACAACTGACAAAGCATGTCCGAATTTCAACATTTTCAAAAAACAGGATGGCTGCCAGTCGGCCATTTTGAATCGAATCGCTTAACCACTGCATGTGTATATCTCCCACATAAGGTACTAGGCACATGCAAGGAATGAGCGGAATCGGTCCACGGGATTCTGAAATATGACTCTGGACAGACTGACGGACGGACGGACGGACGGACGGACAGACTCAGGAACTCACAGACGGTCGGCGACATGTATCCTAACATGTATGATCTATGTACTAAATTTAAATGAAAACTGACAAAGCATGTCCAAAATACATTTTCAAAAAACAATATGGCTGCCAGTCGGCCATCTTTGATCCAATTATGAAGTAAATCGTCACGGACATGTATCCTAACATGTATAATCTATGTACCAAGTTTGAATGAAAACTGACAAAGCATGTCCAAAATACAACGTTTTCAAAAAACAAGATGGCTGCCAGTCGGCCATTTTGAATCGAATCACTAAACCACTGCATGTGCATATGTCCCACATAAGGTACTAGACACATGCAAAGAATGAACGGAATCGGTCCAAGGGATTCTGAGATATGACTCTGGACGGACGCACGGACGCACAGACGCACGGACGCACGGACGGAGACCGAATTATAAGTCCCCGTTTTCGGACTTCGTCCAAACGGGGACTGAAAAAATGGACCCTCAAATTAGCATATAGCGTTTATTCTCACATTAAGCGTTGGAGCAAATTCATATCCATATTTTCGGCGTTTATTCGTGTAGTTTCTTGTTAGCAACGTACGCCCAACAACGTACGTTTTGAGGGTCAGATGCGGAATTTCGAAGTTCAAGAGCAGACGTTGTAATTCTTAAAAAAAATGTTTTGCAACTCGTGCAAACCTAAATACATATGGTTTGCAATGTTCTTTATTATTATCTATTCCCGTAACGCTAAAATGATTTTTGCTAATTTTGCAGCCCGATTTTCGACGAGAGCAGGATTTATCTCTACTGTAACTGTGCTATTCATGTTTGGGACCTACTTCTAACTATGAAAAACCGTGGTCTACGGTGTATTTTACCACGGCTTGCATAATTAAAACCACGCTCTCGAACAATCAGAACGAGCAATTGAAATGTTTGTAGAATATAATGGTTAATAAACGTTTGATACAAAGTGGTGTGGTATCCATGTTTTAAACATTAGAATACATGCAAATGAAGTATGTGAGGTATATGGAACTCCGGTATATGTGTCACATACTACATTAGATAGTAAATGTCCACAGAACAGCCATTTCGATAAAAAAAGAAACAAATGTTCTGCCTTGCTAGGATCGAAGTTCGAATTGAGGTGGTTCACGCCTACGAATGAAGTACCGTTATGTGGTCATGCAACGCTGGCATCAGCTGCAGTCTTATTCAATGTTGTCGGTGAGTATAGTCTTGTATGTTGTTATAACAAATTCAAGATTTGTCCCAGAAATTAGCAAACTCCCTAAAAACGTTCCTGTGAATTTTGCAACGTAGCAAAGTACTTTCATATTGAAACTGTCGAATGAATGTTTTATGAAAACTATTTGCTACATTTCGCGCAATGAAGTAGATAGGTTCACCGACAGACGAGCGTCCATTTTGTTTTCATTTTCAGAGATATTAACAGTGTTGTGACTATACATAGTAGGTTGTAAGTTATCCCGCGTCCTGTTCGATATGGGACTCATAGCGACGTGTACAACGCATGTAAAATACATTGTTTATTTACAGGAAATTCGAACACGCGCTGCGCGCCGACCACCGCGCTTTAAACAACTTGATAACAACTTGAATAATTACTGCATGGTGAAATGACATTAGTTAATAATAATGAAAACTAAAAGTTTATTACGCAAACATATTGCTCGGATGGGTAATATTCTGCCGATTTTGAGTTATCATAAAATATACGATTCGTAAACGTAGTGCTGTAAAATATTATTTCTTTGTCGTTTCGGCACTCGGGGTTGGTCATGTGATAAAAAAAGGTGTCCCCCTGATTTGTCTCGTAAAGCTGATTGATACTTGTAGTCCCATGAGCTGTATTTTTCTCTCACTTTCGATTCGTGAATAATACTACCACATGACGTCACTTGTATCAACTAGATCTACGAATAAGTGATATCTGGTGATGACATATATTTTAAAGACATCATGACGTTTTTCAATATTTGAATTTCATATTTATCCGCATGTGAACAATGTGTTTATGAACAGATATTATGTATGCACGATGTTGTCAGAACTAATCGTCTCTTAAACTGTCGAAACTTGCCTGAAACAGAAAAGAAAGTTGAATGTACATCATACAAATACATGCATACAAAATTAAATTAATGTTAAGCTTATATTTTGTTCTAGGAAATCCATCTGATGTATTAACATTTGTAACTAAGACGAGAGGTGAATTATATGCTCGTCGCCATAGTGATGGATATATCTGCATGGATTTCCCATCATACAACACAGAGAAAGTGGTATGCAAATTATATTGTTCATTGATTATTGAGTACTGCATTTGGCCTAGCCATGGGCGATATGGACAATTGATTGCGTAATCAAACCACAAATCAGTATTAAATGTACATCTATCCATAATCCAAATCCTGGTTTAAATTCTTCGTAAAGTTCGTACTCATGACACCCATTCCAGTATTAAAGCTTATGAAGTAGCAAGTACATTATATTGCATTTGGTGACTTTGCATTTGGTCGTATTAGTTCAGGAGGGATTTGTTTCTGGAAAATAACTTTTAACATCTGGTATTTAGATAATTAGTCAAAAAATATAGATGACTGAAAAGAACGTGGAGATAATAACATCATATTAACACGTGGTCTGGCTAGTCCAGATGTGTATACTTTAACTAAACATGCATACATTTTTATATTTTAAGGATGTCGACAAAGAACCTTTCCAATCAATGATAAAGGTAAAAACATAGAACTATGTACTATGAATGAATACAAATTGTTAAATAAGTAAACCTCCAGCATTTCTTCACATGGAACATCGTTTGTATTACATTATACATGAATTATGTTTCATATATTTCTGTTGAATCAATGATTTGCCTCAAGGCTACCTCGACACGATTACTTAAAAACGAAAGAAAAATGTTAAATAAAATTATAGGTATTAAACATTACGTGTTTAGTTCTTTGTGAATTTGTTTCGTTGATATAGTCTAATTATTGTACATTATACGTTTGCGTTGTCAATTACTATTCGAATCTTTCGGAAACGTCTGTGTAATTGAAGTTCCAAACTTGGCTGAAACAGTCAGACAATATTTACACAATTGCTAAATATACTGTTTCACTGCCCTGCTAGTATGTCTTTGTTTTGTTTTTTCAGACCACCATTGCCGATTTACCATACCAAGATCTACAATATTCTGATGAAACCAAAACATTTATCATCAGGCTAACTGATTCAACTAAAAGGTTATGTTTTTGTTTGTTTTTCACTGAATTTGTTCAACTAAAATACTAATTAAGTGGACTAGTGCAGGTAATGATCTTATCACCACCAATTCTACTGAGTGGGATTGTGTATATCAATCACAATTGCTACGTTTAGTGTTGAAGTATCACTGTCAGTATGGCACGGTAAACGTCACAACATTCTATGTTGAATGTTATGCGTGGTCAGAAAATACAGAGAGAAAAATAAATTCGACAGCAAGATATTTATCACTATGAATTCCAAATTGGATAAAAATTACTCGCATGACACTCTTGTGGTTCGATGGACATTCTTGCGTAATAGCTCAATTTTTTTTATGAAATATGATTGAAATATGACGTGACTGCAACAAGGGCTGTCATTTTTTGATCCAATAATCCAATATTTTATTTATGATGACACTACAGATCTGATTTTGAAAGATTTCTTCCCAACATCAGTGCGATGCATGAATGCGACCTTGAAGGAAAACATGTCCATTATGTGATAGCTGCATTGAAAGGTTGCCATGACAATGATGCAGTTGATGATAGTGGAACGTCCTACGATTTCGTGTCTCGTTTTTTCAGTCCATGGAATGGTGTACCCGAGGATCCTGTTACAGGTATTATATAGTTACGCAATTACTGATAATTTCACACGAACTTTATTTTGTTACGTTTAGAGATGTGTTAGAAAAGCTGTCACCAAACACGGCTGCCATGTTTGAATTGGATACAGACGGTCGAACGTTTGTTGATGTGATTGTTACACTTCACGGGAAAAATGAAGTTCAAGGTTTCCCAAACTATGATTTGCTGTCAAGAGTATTTAGTCCCTGGGACGGGTTGCCAGAAGATCCTGTTACAGGTAAATAACACACACTACCCTCCCCCCTCCATTCGCGTAGGCATACAGACAGTTTTAGACACGATGATTCCTTATATGATCCCACCGTTTATTCCTATCCAGGATCGGCGCATGCAGTATTATCAAGTTATTGGTCCAAACAATTAAAGAAAAGGAACTTGTATGGTGAGTTGTATAACATAACGTAAGGCTACAATAACAGTGTGTTAATGTGTTGTAGTTAATGGGGGGGGGGTGGACTGCAACTGGATAATTTACACTGGATTGAGAAGCATACATTCATGCGCATATAACTTGTGATACGTACATGAAATTTACCCTTTTATCAAGTTTATGAAATGCGTATCTGTCCGAGGAGGAAATAAGCATTTGTGAAAATGTAAGAAGTCGATGGATCATAAGCTGATCATAAAGTGCATTGATTGTGTGTACCGTCATTACGCACGCGTGATTCGATTGATTGATTGATAGTACAACTCTGATACTTGCATGAATGACGGTATGTATCCCATATATACATTGTTTTGTGTTCCAAAACGATGATATTGTTCAAATATCACTTGAAAATGTTTCTTTTTTTTTGTTGCCAGCTCGTCAATGCTCTAAACGAGGTGGTGAGATTAAGATGACGGTTAAAGATAACGGACGTGTTGATATTGCGGGACAAGCCGTGGTTATGATGAAAGGAAAGCTCACAATTTAAATGAGTGGAACTCGAATAATTGAACTTGAACTACAAAAGAATGTAAATTCAAAACCTCTGCATAACGTACTATTTACGGAAATGTGTCTATAAGCTTCTTCTGAATAATAATATACTGTTGAACAATTAACATTTTAAAATATACAGACTTACAAACGTTGGCAAATTTGTGGGTTTTTTTCATTAACCAAATATTTCTTACTATTACTCATCTATTATTGAACGTATTGTCAGCATAATCGCCTCTCGTGACCAGAAAATATTGTGTGACCTCTCTCTCCTATTCAGTCATCGGTATATTTTGATTAAATAGACATTGTACTGTATTATCACTGTAAAAGTAATACAAGATCTTCAGGAAATCTTAGAAAAGTAAATTAAAAAAAATCACTTTGTAAATAAATTTACTTGACTGATTGACTGGTTGATTGGTTTATTGATTAATTAATTAATTGATTGGTTGATAACAACATTTGTATAAGTACTGATGGGGTGAACAATTATTGAACATGCGGAATATAAAAATTATTCATTCTCAACGAGGCTATTGTTTCTCATGAGACCCTCCCTTTCTGACTTCGATATCTTAATTAATTTTACCTGGAGGCATTGCTCAATACACAATCTGTTGCAACTGAAAATCCGAAAGCTTGACAATCTAATGGCAAAAATATATCTCATTACCGACCATTTTGTTCAAATTGTTTAAGTATATAAAGCACAGACTTTTTCATCCAAGTATAGCCGAAACCAAAATAACGAAACGCATTGTTTACCATCAAAATAAACAAGATTCTACTGAATACATTGGCTCTGCTTGTGATATACTTCTGTGTGTATAAATATGTACAATTGGAAACAGTGTTTAACACGCGCTCAATGTGGAATATGTGGGGTAAAGGAGCACATTAATACATACTATTGCAGAATATAGCTACCTAATTTTGATCGGCCCTTTTCGGACATTGAATCAACAAGTAGTTGTACATATGTTTAATATGACCATATAAGGTAATATTAGTACAGCACTAATGTTACAGAAAAGAATCACCTGAGACATGTTTTTGTTAGGCCAATTACTTTGATAGTAAAGAAATGAACTACACGCTACAGTGTTCGGCCCCTGTAAGTATTCTCTGCATGCACTCGCTGTATGTGGGACAGTGTGACTATGCGAGGTAGATACAGACTAAGGTGAAATTAACAATACGGTATTTATTATTTATATAGGTGAAGCCACGCTGGTAATCACGTCGAACGAAATGTTACAATGGTTGGTCACAGAAATTCCCTGTCCCTGTACACAGTCAATGCATTTACAAACAATCCGTTCACTGGGAATCCAGCAGCTGTGTGTTTACTTCAAGTCAAAGTGAACAATACGTGACAATCGGAGAATTATATTGTTGTATACTTATTTCAACTTCATGAATACATTTTATGAAGTAATAATATTTGAAAAATTTTATAATATTTATATCAAAATAGACCCAACTAGGAAAATTGGATATATAGATAATTTGGTTTTTAAGGGAAGTTAATTTAATTGATAGTAGGCTGGCGTAACGTCACAAATTACACTCGGAATTGCGGTGCTGTTGTTATTTTGGGATGCTTTCGGTCAGGAGATATTTCTTGTCGTCATGTACATAAATTACCATCTGATGTATACGTCGTTCATGACGTGTCACATGTTAAAGTAGCAAAATCGTCACTTTGATGCGAATAATCGTTGGTGTGAATTTAATAATAATGCTTTTATGTGAATGTGTATCATATTACATGTATTTGAATTCTTGAATTTAATTTATTTAGGGTATATTATGGATGGTATGTAATTTCATGTTACGCGTTCTCAGTCCGTGGAATGGTGTACCCAAAGACCCTGTTACCAGTAATAATTGTCTCACAAACGTCTTAGAGACACGCTAGAAAGGTTGTCACCAAACAATGCTTTAGTTGGAGACATGATTTCTTACCCTGAGTTATCGTTTAGTATACTGATATCAGATAAGCACGCGTATGGTTTAGGTGAAACACAAACACTTGAACACTGATATAACTTTGTTAAACATGATATATTAAAGATTGATTCTGGAATCGACTGTGTAATTATTAAGACCCGACATTCAGTTAATTTTAATTATAATTATCTATAATTATGCGATCTGTAATATGAAAATTCAATAAGTCAATACTTACCAGAAAAACAGCACAGATCCATAATATACAATGCCTACCAGTAGTGGGTATACTTCTCCGGTATTGTTTGTAAATGCGCGATAATGTGACATAATGGTAACAGATAAAGACAGGAAACGTGTTGATATTGAGGGTCAGGTCGTGGTTATGACGGACAGAAAACCATTTAACTGAACACAGGTATACCATAAAAGAAATGGAATAGGAAAAAAAATATTTGTACATGGAATAAAAACTAATTTAAATCTGCATTATGTGTGGAAATGACAATTAGATCATCTCAAATATGTTTTTTTTTACTAAAACATATGAATACCATCTCTACATTACTCAATGCTGTATTCAAATGCATATACGCTGTTATTGATTTTTTTCCAATGAGAAAGATGAAATGGTTGTGTAAACCTCAAATGTGATATTTACTATATAAATCTCCTTCTTTTAACAACATGAACGCCTGTCTGACCAGTTATTAATCCTGAACAACTCTACACGAATTTAAATCAGTGCGCCATCAGGAGGCGGCAAGACTTCGTAAACCAGTCTAGCATAAAGAGTATATAGATGTTCTTAACGAATCTACAAAGTTTAATACTTCATCCGAGTCACCATGTACCATGTTCTCGACGTTAGTGTGACGTAACAGTATGTCTCTCTACTGCCGATAAGAACGTTGTTATTGTCGTCGATTCAATGATAAGAAATGAACCACGTAGCATGATTTGACTAGGGGGCTTGATACCCGCATCATTTGTGCATGTGAATATTCTCACCAATTAGTCGGCGTGGGGCCACTAAGGGCAGAGTGCCGAATTCTGAAGGCGCGATTTTTATAAATCTCACTAGTTGGTGAGAATAATGTGGTGACCTGATTGCTGATCAGATAAGAAGAGTGTCATTTTTTTGTTGAAAGATTGGCGAGCGGAATTAGCTAGCAGAATCCTTCAATCGGTGAATCGTGTGGAGACTAAATTATTCAGTGAAAATAGTGGCAATAAATACCACTTGTGAATAACACTCTAATCTCACACTTGTTCTAATGGTCATAGTCGCACTGTTCTCAAAAACGACTATTTTGTACTTAATTAAATTTCTAAATATGCAATGATATCATATATATTCCGAAATTGATTGACTGATTTGTGGGGCAATTCATAAAATTAATTATGTATTTTGTCAGGGTATTTTTGGAGTGCAAATTAACATGTGAAACTAACACATAACGAGTCATAACGAAGACAACACTCACTGTTATTTCACTGGTGACGAAAGCAAAAGAACATAAACCAATAGATAGAAATACTGGAATAAGAAAAAAAACAAAACATTTCATTAATTTGTTATTAATAAATTCACTGATATGGGCCTGTGTGGATTAGTAGTCATGCATATTTTATGATGTGCGTGTTGACTGGTCATTTTGCATCGGCTAGTCGTGTCAGTAGTCTCTGGTGTGCTTGCGTAAGCACGCTCGATTCAATCCATCCCACCTGCCATTGGACTAAATATAGCTCGCCTTCGCCTCCAGGGAACTAGTGTACATGCCATTAGTGTGATATTCTAAAATTTTTAAAAACTTGATAATAATTTTAGTATGTGGGATGCATGAAAAAGTGAATTTGGACAGATTTCGGCTTCGAACTCTTTTGACAACCACTTTTTTCCAAATGCACTGACGTGAATTGTCCGTTGTGTTAATTGCAAAGTGTTCGTCAATTTGTTTGGCACATTGAATAATGTGGCATTCAACTTCATGTTGATGTATAGTGAATTGCTTTGTATATGTTTATTCCGAAGATTATTTAAATTGACATTTTTTGTGTTATTATTTGCTGTGTTATATTTTGCTATTGGCATTCGCCGCTTCAAAACTGTCTATACAAGTTTTCATTTAATGTTGTAACAAACATATGTGCAATTTGAAAATGTTACTTTTGAAAATTCCACTTTTATATGTATAGTATTGTTTCGTAGTATGTATTTCGTAATACAAATAGACAACCTAATGTTCAGTATTTGGATTTGGATTGTTGGTATTTCATTATATATGTATTCAATTTTGTGTCTATGTTTTTTTCTCAGGCTTATACAAAATCGTACAATACAATCATATGTGATGCGAGTATGTGTGTATCAAATAGAAAACGCAGCGTAACGGGAACGCAGCTGCTTACTGAGACGAGGCGCATTTGTCGAGTTTCGGTTTCGATTCTCGTGTTTCATGCTTATGTGTTCTTTCTTACATGTCCCTGTAATGTCAATGCCTAATGACAGTAAGCTGTAGGTATATATACCTATATATAAGATCATTGTTAACCTACTCGTGTTTTTAAATATAATATTCATCGATCTATTGGTTTATTTCCCCGTATTTTTATTCTGTTTTTTCGTATTACGAACATTAAACTAAAATATCTGATGATGTATATGGCCACAAGAACGTTTGACAGCGTGAGACCAATGCTAAAAATACATAAATCGTGATTAATTTAATTGTTTATATGGTTTATCTTTAAGACAGATAGGTATACATTCTTCTGGCGTAAATGTTTATGTTTCATATTTATATGTGTCTAATTTGTAGATGCAATCCAGTGATTACTTTAATAGATTTTAATGACTTACCTGGGAATGTGTTGCGTACATTTGTCCGGAGATTGGCACCCCTTTATCACAATGTAGTAACCCACTTTAACATGACATTTTTCATGGCGCTACTAGACAGTCTGGAATATATGCAATCAGTTCATTTTAGCCCAGCCGGTGTTCCATACGCGATGCACACTCGCTTGGGGAGACTTGACAGTTCCTGTTATTGATCGCACTCACAGCGGTTGCGGTACTGACGCCGAGGCAAGGGAGGTGGCAGAACTATACTTATCAAACACTGTTTTGAGTGGCTCCGAGAATGAACAACGTTTCCGGCTTCCTCGTGTTCTTCCTAGTGGTCATAACCAGGGAGATAACATCGTCTGATCATTCTCCGTCGGTTATTCGACTGGGTGAGTCCGAACACTTAGCATTTCCAGCCTTGGTTTGATCACTATTCGTCTATTTCAATACCATGGGTTGTTTTCATGAACGGTACATGTCGCGTTAGTGTAGATTCAGTTCGTGTCGAGATAGATATCAACACAGTCCGCCTGTCAAACGCCAGAGCATTATACAGTTTGGCAAAGTATTGACATGCATTGTCTGGCAAACCTCTCCCTCCAAAGAATATTATAATTAAGTGTGGTGCACAATGGCGTCATCACCTCAATCCGTTGCCTCACGTCGTAATCGGCGAGCGTGCATCTGACATATATAATATTATCAAACAAAACATATATTTCCAGGTGAACAAAATCGTCTTATTATATATATATATATATATGCTCGTTTCGAAAAGTCAAAAATGATATCTGCGACTGCAGAATCATTTTAATAGACGCTATTGGGACGTTACATCACTCAAAGCAACTAATTGCTTAATAATCGTATGTATGGTGTGTGCATTAAAGTTGAACACTATACATCGAGACAAATTAGGATTAATTACTTGTGCTCGTTACCACGTCGCTTTGCGTTATATCATAACACCTGCTACAGTATAGTCAAACAAAATGCAGCATGGAATTTTGAAATGTTGAATGAATGAATGAATGAATCGAAGTATTTGTGAATGTATGAATTAATATTCTTTCTTTCACCAGTATTATGAGAGTTAACATGACGGGAGTCACGTGACATAGTATGTAAAATTAATGGCTCATTTTGTACGGCCCAGAAAATTGTTCATTTCCCAGTCTAGGTAATGTCATCATAAAAGTTTCTAGAAAAACGCAGAAGGCGAGCCCTTTTAGGACGTGATTCTTATATCGATATTTGTCTTTAAATAGAAAATATTGCTTTCATACAGAAGAGAATCGAAGACAGATGTGGGTATGCATATTTATTGTGATAGTATGTGTGTTGTTTTTGCCAACAGGAGATAACGATACCTATATAGATTATTGAAAATCAGCTCAATCGATAAATTACGTTGAACCAGTCGGTAGCCTCGTTCGGTGATTCAGTCAAATAGTGAAATGGAGAAATGTACAGTCATGGTTGTGGGCGAAAATACATTATTGAAACTTTGTTACAACCACAAATATATTATGGTTAACCACCAAATACAACAATGTACGTTCATGTGACCCATGGCAAAGCTATGATGTGTATAAAACAAACTGAGTGTATCCAACTTCCGGTGAATGTCTACCATGATCGTATCTACGCTTGCTGGATTTACTTTAACGAAGTGTAATCTTCAAGATCGGACCCCGTTTCGAACATAAATCAGTAGACAAAACAGCGTCATAGTTTCTTGTATGGGCTACAAGAATGATTGCCGTACACGCGCGCGTCGAGAGTGTCGCATTGTTTGTTGTATTGCTCAACTGCGTTCGACGTCTTAAACAGTAATTTCTTTGGGTCACCACTAAACTACAAATTGCGATTGCGATTGCGATTCAAGATACCAATCAAGATAAATATCAATTAAACTACAAAGGAATTGCAATTAAACGCAATTAAAATACAATCCTATATTTAGTTATCAAGTTAAATGTTGTATCTAATTAAATTAAATTTTAAATTAAATTAAATTTTAAATTAAATTAAATTAAATTAAATTAAATTAAATTAAATTAAACGGTCAATTCAATGTTTATTTCAATGTTAGTTTACTAGTATTTCTTTTTAGCGCCATTATTACTGAAAAAGTGCGAGTTTTTGCTTTCCTTATCTAATGATCGCAAATCGTGGTGGCCACTTAGTGTTAGCTACTTCTTTTACGCACGTGAGACTGGGAAGCACTACCACTGAAATGTTGCATGGTGTTAAAAGACGTAAACATCGACATTTATACGCGACCGCATACTGGGATTGTGCATGTACCGCATACTGGGAGTGTGCATGTACCGCATACTGGGAGTGTGCATGTACCGTATACCTTGTTATGCCCTTGGTTATAAGCGACGTTCGCAGCAACAATTTAACGTGGAGACCTACACGACAGGATACTTGATCCTCCCTACATGTACACAATGTATATTTAATTATACATTACTCTGTTCTGAAGTTCTTTTAATTT